GTACTAGGCAATCACCCAAGATCAGGCTTAAAGGTCACAAAAGGTTGTTAGTGTTACCTCGGGGTTGGTCTTCTTTAATGCTTCATGGTTGGCCAAGGAGAGGGAAAATAGATCCATAATTAACATAGGATCGAAACCCTTATCGATGAAAGTGTTGGTATTGATGGCAAAAGTACCTTCATTAGGCCTCAAATTTTTTGTGCAGACGTAAACCCTTCGATATTTTCTCCTTTTGTCTTTGTGACCATTGCTAGGAAGGAGGAGCTTTGGTATGGACACTAGGAGTAAAAGGCAACCTCTACTGGACCCTTTGGACTTGTGGGGGTTGTCTAGAAGGAGTGACATGTTGGTTCCTAGTGGTCGGGTTCTCAAGGGCATGGTTCTTGATAGGGTTCCCCATTTCCTAATAACCTTGTGCAATAGTCATAACCCTGCCACTCTTCTAATCAAAATTAATATTTTGAGCCCTAAATGGTAAAACAAGAAAAATGCATGTAAGCACAATATATTGAAGTACTGAACATTTTCTAATAACCAAGTACATCTATAACTAAAAACCTAATGCTTACACTCAAGTTTTACTTAAGCCATTAACAAACTAGAGATATTTAAGATCTTCTTCGTTTTCAATGGCAAAGGAATAAGTTTAATTATTTTTTAATCATATTTTTCTTAAGAACTCATTGTTTTCAATTCCCAAACCTTGTGTTTTAGTGGTTCCTTTGTCCAATAAAACAAAAATTTGGAGCTGAGTTCTCGTCATCCCTGGGGACTAGATCCATGAAGAAAGGTGCACCCTTTACTATTGGAAAAAACTTAAAGAATCCATCTTTAAAGTTTTTGAAGGAAGTAGTAGTGTAAGAATCAAATAACACTCCATGAGCATGGTTGATAAGAAATAGCCACCCAGATGAGGTGCCCAACTTAGTTTTTGTGAAAATGAAGAAAATTTACAGGGGTGAGCTCTATATTTAACGACTTGTAAATGAATTATAATGTTTGCAGGAGCGCCTAACTATTAGGGTGAAATTGTGTGGGGACTACGTTGAGAACTAACATCACCTTGACAATGAATGGGTTGAACAATAGTCAAACATTTAAGGCCTTGAAAGAACACTTATGTATGTAGAAGAAGTAGGCTTCATCATCATTGGCTTCTCGACACACTTCCTCCTCCTCCAAAGGCCTTTGAGCCTCTGTGAGGTATCTCATTCCTAACTCCACAATATTAGTACAATGGAGGAAATAGATTAGTAATTACATATTCATAAACATGGAAGAATACTCAAAAACCTTATCTAGGACCTAGTTTGTGTGTTTCCTTTGTCTCCATGACGAATCCAACTCTGATGTTTTGCTTGGGAGAGAGAGGAGAATTAAGGGGAATGAAAGAGAATATGTGAGAATTGATCTGATAGGAAAAAGTAGGAAATGGTGTGGAATTCGTAGTTATTTGGTAGAGGTGAATTAAATGAGAAATAGAGCGAAATTGATATGTAAAAAATGTATTTCACATAGTTTTTTATTTAAAAATATATTATTTAAACAATTACATATATATTTACTCTTTACTAACTAATATTTAGACAATAGTGTAGGGGTAGTCTTGCTCATGCTTTTCTTTGTTGGAAAATTCCACACAAAGCCACCCTTAAAAAGAGTGGAATTAAATCTATATCGGCCAACCACAATTTTCTCACAAATCCACTTAAATCAACTCCTCTAAACACACATTTTTTTTAATTCCTTGATAATCCTTCCATTTCTTCTTCATTACCTACTAAATCACCTCCCCAAACACAATTAAGTTGGGAATCAACATGAAATCCAGGTTATCAATTGGAGGAGATGCCTTGATTGGATCAACCACTTGGTTCTCGATATTAGGGGGTACCTTGGTGGTTGGTGGAGGAGGTTCTACCCTAATAGATGTTATTATGGTGCTAGGGGTATTAGTAGAGGAGAGTTTCCAGAAGAAGATAAAGAAGATGAGGTAACACTAGAGATAACATTAACCTTCATCTTGCCAAATAAGGGAGATTTTATACTATTGCTGGAACTCATAAAAGAAGGTAAGGAAGGCATACTTGGTCAATACTCGATTTTTGCAGAGTTAAAAGGCAAGAAGAAGGGCTAGTACTTGGTGTATTCAGATGTCGGAGGTTGTAAGTAAATCCTTGTGAAGGTTAAGAAACCCTATTTATAGAAGAAAATGGTTCTAAAAAACAAAGTGTCAGCCTCCTCGAACCATTAGATCCCTTTTATATCACTGGTGGAGATGAGCACGACTCTTTGTGTACGTGAAATGTTTCATATTCACGTAATTGTAAGTTCTCTAACATGTCATTATTCCAAGCAAAATGACTACTGAAACAACGACATATCCGATCATTGGGAAATAAAATATATTTTTTTCAAAGAGCTATGCATTCAACTCTTCTCCCATAAGTCAAAGACTTGGGGGCTTGAGTGTTAGATAAGTCGCAAAGTTGAGATATTGTTAATGATGGAAACTTTAAGGAGAGACTTGATTGATGTAGCTTCTCCTTCAAATCTCCCCTCAAGATTAAAAAATAAATACGCGAGACCAACAAAATAGCATAAGAAATAGGATAAGAGCATCATATCCCATTGATGCAAAAAAACAATGGATTATAACAAGATTTAATAATTATCTTATTTTATCTTAATCATTGAACAAACCCTTAGTTAAATACAAGTAAAGGATTAATCCAAAATCTCAGTTCATTTCAAAATATTTATACTTAACATGTATGAAAATATAATTTTACTACATTTATATTTATTATCTTTAAGAGAAATATGCACTATACTTTTTTTGTTTGATAAGATGGTATAACTCTTTCCAACTAGATCCACCCCTATAAGGGAATGTTTGGTACGCAAAATAGTTTTGCTTTCTCAAAAATATGAAGTTGTGAATATTAGTTTCTCACGTTTGGATTATCATCTAAAACATATCCTTCCTAGAAAATATGGTTTTTTCTGAATTTTTTTTCTATAGGTTTATCACCAAAATTTTCACATAAGGGTAGGTGGGTATATAACATGCTTGAGTTAAAAGAAATGTTTTACTACAATAAAAATATTAATTTTCCTTTATTTGTCTAGTTAATATTATAAAAATATTTAATTCTCAAAAACTAATACTTTTAAAAATATTTATAATTAACTAAATAAATTTAATTATTTATGAGATTCATGATTCCTAAAAACCATAATTTTTAGGCATGAAAAAAAATCTCTTCTACTAAAAAAAACACTTTATATTAAAAATTGAAACCTCAAATAACCAAGAGGAGTTACCAAAAATTAAAACACTTTATATAAAGTATAGATTAATTTTATCTATTTAATTAGTATATATATAATATAATCTGAGACCTGTAAATACAATAAAGCTATAAAATATATTAATTATTATAATAATATTTTATGATAATTATTTTACAACAATTTTTCATATTAATATTAAAACCATAATTAAATTTTTTCATTAATTATTATAATTATAATATTATTTATCCTATAAATATGTTTAATTTTAATTATTTATAATATACATTATTTCAATCGATAAATAAAAATGTTATTTTTTTTAACTTTAACTTAAACAGTTTGAATTTTATTAATATTAATCAAATGATAATGATAAAACTTTAAAATTATTACAATAAAACGAAAATATGTATCATTTTTATTTACTAATAATCTTCATTTATTGGTATTATAATAAAATGAAAATATGTATCATAATTGGAATTACATATGTTCAAATATATCATATGTATCATTTCTATTTACTTTACTGACTTTAAAGTATTTATTTCACATATTATTCTTATTTTTCTTTATTTTTAAACATTAAAAAATTTATATATTTATTTATAATTTTTTAATAATATACAAAATTATTCAGGAGAGAATTATTGGGGAGAATAAATATTTAAGATATATTAATTGTACGAAATTATTGAAGACAAGTTTTATATGTGAAAAGTATAATAATATTGATTTTATATGTTTTTTTTAGTGTAAATTGATTAATTTTTTAATTAGTTTCTTTTATTTTTATAATAATATTTATATAAAAAAATATTTTGAAGGATAAGAGTTATTCTAAAATTTCTTCTTTTTATATTATTAACAAATATATATGCAGGATATTATATCTCTATGAATAATTTATTAATTTCTTAAATCGTTAAAAGTCAAAATAGAGTAAAACGTTTTAAAAGGAGAAAATATTTTTAAAACAAAAGGATCATATTCATAGATTATTTTTTTTTTCTTAAATAGTATTAAATTTGATAATTTACTAATTTTTTTAGATTTTAGAGACATGAAAATTAAAAAAAAATACTTTACATGAATTAAAATCAAAATTTAATTATTTTACAATGACTAAAAATAATGTTTATAAATTTTAGAAGGAAGACAAATAAATTAAAAAAAAAACTAAAATCAAAATTATCAAATAAAAATATATTTAACCCCAAGCGTGTGGTTCAGCGGTAGAGGTTGATCCACGCTTAAGCAAGGTCAGGGGTTCGAATCTTGCCTTGTGTATGCAGCCGCGTTAAATCTTGGCGGTGCCTCCAACGTAGCGAGGAGATTAGTCACTGCTATCGGCGGTAGATACTTCAGGGACGAACCAAAAAAAAAAAAATATAATATATATATATTTAAGCCTATTAAGTTAAAAACTAACTATTTGTAAAAAATATTTAATTTGGTGATAAAAGCATATTTCTTAATATTTAATGTGGAATAATAAATTTGATTTTTTCTCCCATACATTAAGGTATTTTATTAATAAAATATTTACTTGTGTGTTTTATTAATAAAATATTTAGTTGTCAAATCAAGTCTTGTAACTGATTTATTAAATCATTAATAAAATCATTTACGTCTTTCTTTGTGATTCTCTATATAATGTCGAAAGAAAAAGAAGTTTTACACAATATTAACGCAATTGATTTCAATTTCAATTCCCTCAACTTATTTAGTTATCAAGACTTCCATCGTACATCTTATTGTGGCAAAGATGCTGAGCTTTAACCATCTTTACCTAATATGCAACATTCTTGTTATGATTATATTATTGCCAACATATGACTGTAGAGAGTTGCAGCCAAACGATGTGAATCTCATAGTGAAGACATGCAATCAAACCCCTAATCCTAACCTCTGTATTAAACTCCTTGAAGCCGACCCTCGTGGTCGTAGTGCTGATGTTAGTGGCCTAGCATTAATCACGGTCGATGTGATCAAGGCCAAAGCAAATGAAGGCTTGAATAAGATCAATCAACTTCTTAAAGGGGGTGGAAATAATAAAAGAGCTTTGCTTTCATGCGTTGACAAGTACAAAACTATTTTGGTAGCTGATATACCACAAGCCACTCAAGCTTTGAATTTTGGAAACCCTAAGTTTGCAGAAGATGCAACAAGTGATTCTGTTGTTGAAGCTACTTCTTGTGAGGAAGGCTTCGGTAGGAATTCACCAATCACACGTGAGAACAATGATACGCGTGATGTGGCAAATGTTGCAAGGGCAATTGTTAGGCTATTACTCTAAATTCTCAAAAACATTGTCATGCCATATGAATTCTATGTTGTTGGTCTAAAATAAATTAGTCATTAATAAATTGCCCCAAATGTAAGAGAGTCAGGAGGGGAATTATTGTGTTATAATGATGTCTACCATGATTAATACTATTGAAAATTGTTTACCTATATATATTTAAAGGTTTGTGTTTTTTTTTCTTCTAAACTCCTAAATAAGATTATAAAAAAAAATGAACACCTAATAAATCAGTTGTTAGAAATAAAAATAAGATTTAGATTGTTTTTTTATTTCTCAAGTATTATAAATGTAAAATTTTGATCATTAAGTTTTAATTAAACAATTTTAATATATCAAGTAATACAATTATGACATTTTAGTCATTTTTAATAAAAAAATTTAATAAATTTTGTTGATGTGACACAGATAGCTCACTTGGATAATGATGTGGTGCAATCATGATAGATGTAACTCCCAATTTTATATATATTAAACATAATATTATATATATATATATATATATATATATATTATATTTTTATAGGTTATTAACACAAGTATACCCTTAATAATATTATACATAAAAATAAAGAAAGATTTTGTGAACTTGTTTACAAATAGTTAGTTTATAATTACATTATATATTATTCTAAAAATATTTACAACAACATTCGTAATTAAAAATTACTTATTTTTCACATATCTATTACAATATTTACATATTAGGTTGATATAAGTTTATTATAGGATTAACGTGGTTAGCCGGAGGTAGAAAAGTAACTACTATCGGTCCATCAATAACCATAGAGATTTTCTGAGTCGGAGAAAATGTGAAAGTTGACAGTGTCACTCCTTGAAAGGTAACCAAATTAGCAACAACATTCACACTCCAAGTAGTTCCAGAAAATACTGATGATATGATAGAAGGAAAATGGTCCAGAATTGCTGGTAGATCCATCTATTTTTCTATTATAATTAATTAAATATTTTAAACAAGAAACATATATAAAGAGTGAGAACAATTATCTAATAAATATCAATAATTAAATAATATGCATAGAAATATTTTTAACTAATACTAATAAATATATATGTACTATCCGTGCTGCAAGGCCGAGCTCCCAGCTTGGCATCGCAACGCATGACGACCTCGGATACGCGCTGCGTGACGTCAGCTCGTCACTTAACCAGATCATAACTGATCTGAGGAGATCTCGGTCTAGACGAGATCCGCCATCCAATCATATCATATCTTATCTAAGGCCCAAGGCCCAACGCAGCCCTAACTTACACTAAGGTACGTGCATTACTTATACGAGACTCATACAAAAACAAACCCTAACTTTAGCATCGAAGTCTCTTTTGCAGGTACCACCCCCATCTTGGAACACGAGACGTATCCTGAAGGAGGCTCACCAATCTTGCTTGGAGAATCAACCCAACGGCAAATTCCCAGTAAGAACATTTGGCGCCACCGTGGGGTCGATCACTACAAGAAAATTCGCTATTACAGACGGCCAAAAT